GAAAGGCTAGGAGGTGAATAGCTTTGCATTAGTTTATGCTAACACAGATTGATCCTAGTAGCAAGCAATTTATTTTCCTGTGGCTTTTTATTGCCACTATTTCTGTCATACCTGCTCATATGAGGGTCAGCCCCTACAAATGTGACAGCACCTCAGACCTGTTCTCCATGGCTTGCAGAGGAGGGGGCTGCGTGGCTCTGCTGCTGGCCCCATCAGCAGTCACTGGTCATGGACAAGCCACTCTCTGTTACAGAAGCCAGACTTGGACTTGCTGCTGTGCAAGGGCAATGGGAGAAATAGCTGCTGGTAAAGGGGTGCGATGTCAATGTCCCCTCACCTTGGAGGTGGGAACTAGGGCAGCCTGGCTGTGTGGTTGGCACAGGACAGACAGACTGTGCGCCCCTCCGGCAGCCGGTCCCTCTCCCCTCCACAGCAGCAGAGCCAGCATTCCTCCCCCACAGCCCTTCTGTAACTTCCCATAATCTGTGCACAGCAGCTGCTAATCCCACCGGTTCCTAAACCAGCTTCTGAGTGTGCCCAACCCTTGTCCTACCTCAAAATAGAGCATGTAGGCTTATGGCAGGAAAACCTGTTCAGCAGCCGAGGGAAGCAGCTGAGCACCCATCGCAGTGGGTGCCCCAGCCCTCCCCGGCACAGCTCGCTCAGCCTCATATCTCTGCTTGCTTTGGCAAGCAGAGCACAGCCAGGGATCGCTCACCAAAACCTGTCTCTGTGCCTTGTGAGCTGCATCTTCTCCACTGTCCCAGGCTTTGCCCTTTCCTCAGCTGGTCATAGCACCATTTACAGTGTAGCCTGTACTCATACCCTTGTGCTGAAAATACCCAACTCATACATATGCCATTATGAAAGCACCTTTTAAAAGAGACCTCTAAGTTCTGCCTGGATACTGAGCTTTAGATTGGGTTCTTTTGCCTACACAGAGATCCAATGTTGCTTTTGGGGGTTGAACTGCAAAAGAGGGCTCTCCAGGGGAATATTTACTGAGTCAGGCAGGGAATATCTTCCCCCCCAAATAAATAAAAGCATTTAATCAAATGGATGAGAAACCCATTTCCCTTAGCATTCCACTTGCTGAAAATCTAAGTTTTGTTAGCCAAAAAGTGCACAAAACTAAAGGATTTATCTGTTTATAGCGAAGAGAAAGCCATTTGTGTTGCTTGAGGTGAGCGTGAGGAGGATCTGCATGTGTGTCTGTGTTTGTGTCTGCACGTATACTCATGTATGAGAGGGGAGGAAACCCAACAGAGGTATGATTTTATGATCTCCTACATTATTTATTAGCTGGATATTTCCACCTGCTCTGCTATATGCGACCACTGTAGGAAATTCAATGCTCGAAGGTGCCCCAGCCTCAGAGCAGAGCACACGTAGATCACAGTGGGCCAGCCCTAAGTCTACAGCACCCTTTCTTCACCCAGCCATGGGACTGAGATGAGGTTCCAGCTGGAACAGAGGCTGTTTTCACCAGCATTTAGTCCTTCATCCCCAATGCCCTGTGTTAACTTCTGACATGCCTTTGTCAAAGTAGGGCACGTGTATGTTTGCTCTCAGCTTTTTTGACATACTCTTGACAACCCCACACCCAGAATTTAGGTTCTGTATTAAATGCTGCCAAGCTGCAAGTTTGCATTTAATCAAATATGACCATTTGGGGGTTGTCAGGCTGAGAAAGGAATTGAAAATGGCTCATCATTCTTAGCTTAGTCTTTTGAAATTAATACAAATATTTCAATTCCATAATTCAGTTTTAAACTGGCTTCAGACAGTGACCATAAATACTACATCTCACCGGAGTTTTCCAGCCAAGTAATAAACCATTGGAGATAAGAGCCAGCTTGGCATTACTTCATCCCACCTCTGCATTTCTACAACAGACTGGAAGGAGATGCTTTGGGTTATGAGAACAGTTCTTGAAAATTTTCTTAACTCCTCTTTATTTTTAGTCCTCCCTGTTGAACACAGAGTGCTGGATTCCACTCACATTACTTGTGTTCAATTTTAATGTATCCATGAATCTAAGCTATGGCAGAGCTTTGCTTTTCTTTCCTTATTTCTTATTTAATTTGCCTCTTTACAAACCGGAATCTTCATTTTTGAAGAGACATATCTCTGCTTATAAATACTGCCACTATTAGCATGTGTACAAGCACAAACGCAAGCGGAACATTCGGAGCAGCTCAAATTGAAAGCACAGATTTAGGGCTTGAGCTAAAGAATATGCTGTCATTTCATTTCATTTGGAAGTTATTGAACTCTGCTTTTTAAACCCATTTTCCTTTCAAAAAGAGAAAAAAAAAACTCCAATGAGTTTTGAGTGGGAACTTTTTGAGATGTTAATGAAGGTTTTTAACTTTTCTGCATTTAATTTGGCTCCTTTTGGTCAAAAACATTTACTGAATTTGATCTGAATTTGCAAAAAAGAGAAAGTTTTGATCATCTTAAAAAACTTTTTGTCTGTGTTTGAATTAAATTTTTTTGCACTTCAAAAGAAAAACAGAAGCCTCCTAGTTAAGTATGTTTAACTCTACTCGGCACACCCTGGATTCTGCTCCTGAGGCAGGTAAGTCCTTTTAGCTCTCAGTGCCTCCGCTTCACCATCAGAATAGGGGAGATGCATTGATAACCTCTGCAGGTAATTTTGGAGCTATTGGTGGAAATTGCTACAGAAGAACATAATAGTAGAAATATTCTACAGCATGCACAGAAATTAATATATGCTTGAATGGGTGTTTTTTATCTGGTTCTGGTAATTATGGTCTAATTCTCTATTTACTCTGCATCCTGTAGAGGATTAATTTTGCTCTCCATCTCCTTTCTCTCCTAGCTTTGTTTAACCTCATACCTGTGGGTTTACGAGTGGTGGCAATTCAGGGGGTTCAAACAAAATTGTATCTGGCAATGAACAGTGAAGGATACCTATATACATCAGTAAGTAAACACTTTTCATTTTCTTCTCACTGGAATTATGGTAAGAGCTTGTAAGTTACTCATTTTCTGTTCCAAGGAATCTGCTTATGACCTATAGACATGCGATTTGACTTCAAATTGAGTATAGCAGCAATAGTCTGGTTTTATATGAATCCGTACGGGTGCACAGAATGAAACTGCACTCCTTTGATACAAACCAAAGATCCCAAAGTGAGAAATGAATAAAAAGCCTCACAACAAAAAACCCAGGCAGAAAAGATGCTTTCTTATGGTCACTGTGACTGATGGAGCTAATCAGTGCCGGGTACAGAGGGAAACAGACAACTTGATGAATCATACGTATGCCTGAATGCTTCCATATTTTCCCATATCATCTTCATTACTGTTATTAGAATGGATTAAAGTAATTTTTTTGTTGTTTGGCTCAGAAATGGAATTAGGTGCCAAAATCTTTTGGCTTCTTGTTGCTCAGTGAGTAAAGAAAGGTTTGATTAGCAGATTTGATGAAGAATGACAGTTAATTTTCAGTGGCATTTCTTAAGAGAGCAAACAATGTTTTTAGGAGAAAAAGAAAAATGATGTTTTAAAGAATAGACTATTTTCCAATTAAAAACATTTGGTTGAACAATGTTTGGGAGTTTTAAAGTCTGAATAGATTTTTCCCAGGGAGGTAAGTAGAGGAAAATGTAATTTATTATCTACTGCAAATTATGCTCTTCTATGACTAATTCCCTTAAGGTGCCTCTGGTACTGATAACAATTAAGTAAACTTACTGAAATCTCTCATTTTGTTTTGCAATCCAAGGGGCAGCTTTGCATATTTTTCCTCTTGTATCTGCCAGAGCAAAAACAAATCAGAGCTGGTTGTGCTGCAGGACAAGATTTCAGTGAACAGCATCAAACTCTGCTTTTCTTTTTACTCTGGCTGTTTACTTAGGGCAGTTAATCCACAGATCTGTTTGCAGGGCTCTAGCCACACAGCCAGATCGTGCAAAGCCCCTTTAATCCCATGTAGGCATGGTCTTGTGGCTGCACAGTGTCATTGACATTTGCACTGTGAATGTCCCTTTGAGCTGTGCAGATGCATTTCCATTAGCATCCTCAGGTGCGTTCCTGCTCCTGAAGTCCAAGCGACCACTGGGAGAATGAAGTATCATTTCTACTGTCCTTCAATGTGAGGAGGAGGGGCAGAACATAACCCTTGTTTAGATTAGGTCCAGCTTTTAGTTTGATTGGTATTTAGTCATTTTAGGCAGAACTCAGAGATTCACTTTGGTTGTAATTTTTAGTATCTGCATTGACAAGGGATAGTTCTTCATGTGGTCTCATAAGTTACCATGCAGTGTGCCTTCTTTGAATCCTTCAGCATCTGTGAATTTAACAGTTTATGGCAAAATTAACTGGTGACATCCTTCTGATTTCCCCTTAGTAACAATAGTCTTTTTAATTCCTTCATTAGGCAGCTATATTGTCTTACAATTATTCTTTCATTCTTCTTGACTCTGTTGGGCTTGGCATGGCCTTAGACAGACTTTTGTCAGGTTGCTGTGTCCCAGATTTCTATCTTTAAATACTCTTCACCAAGATGAGTGTCCATTTAATGCTGATCTACTTTGCCAAAGACAATTTCCACCCAAGTTGTCAATAATCTTTAGTTTATCATCTGACATCTTCTGGTTTGGTTGTTTTGTCGTTTAAAATAATTGTAAGAAACAGACTTGGCAGGCAAAACCTTGCTCATGTCTCTGTCAATGTGCCCAGGGCATGGATAAGGGCTGGTGAGGAGCATCTCATCTCCCCTCCTTCACCTGCTATGCAAAAAGGTTGCCAGAATTGCAGTTCCAGCACCATTTTTTGAGTGTTTCCAGCACTTCTTTTGCTGGTAATGATCCTTTCAGCAAGGGATACAGTCTGTCAGTCTGGTGCATAGGAAATAGCTCTATATTTTGGGCTGGATTCTTGGTTGATGTAAATGAGTCCCAAGAGAGCTCAGCTGATTTATGCCAGCTTGAACACTCACCTGTTCAAGGGATGCCATCAGGGAGTCTGGGGAACAGATCAGCTCAAGGAAATGACATCCATCTACACATCCTGAGGGTTTCCAAGCCCTTACAGGGATGTGTTCCCAAATGGGATTTGTCAGGAGCAGACAGATGGCAACATGGGATTGATCAGGAGCAAAAGTGCCACAAAATGCTGACAAATTCCTGACGCAAGGATATAGGGAAAAATAGAAATGTACTTAAAGTGTAGATAACTATAACAGATAGTTATACCATTTCCAGACAGAAATGAAATTAGCATTGATGATGCAATGTAATAGGGAGAGAGAACATTGTGGTCTATGTCACGATCGCTTGCTTTGGGTTTTATTGTCGCTCCAGCGCTCCAGTCATGCTTGTGTCTACGCAGAGCCGTTTCCTTCAGATTGCATTGCCAAAGGTTATAGATCCACTTGGTAAATGGCTTGAAAAATACCCTAGTGACATGTCAGCCCTGCTCCTCACCCAGCGCTACTGTCTGTGTCTTGCACCTGATAGTGCCTTTTAGCCTGAAAACACTGCACCTGACAAGGAGGCCATTAAAGTCCATGGCAATTACCCCACTGGTAAATAGGTAAACAAGACATCTGGCTTATGGGAGGATAAATGGAGGCTCAGCTAAGTGCTTTCCCACGCTCACATAGGAAAGCACATTAGGGGTAACACACCAGGTGTCCCATTTCCATGGCTCTTGCACTGAAGTGCAATATTAAATCACAGTTCCATTTCTTCTAGTGGCTGTTGCGAATTCCTGTCTTTTGTTCCTTATGGTATATTTTTTAGGTTTAGGCTGTGCAGCAACAAAATTGAATTAGTTGATTGCGAGTGTCCTGCATATCTAGAAGCCATAGTCCTTTAGGGTTGTTGGCAGAGAATATCATAGAATCATAGACTGGTCTGGGTTGGAAGAGACCTTAAAGCTCATCCAAGTTCCAACCCCTGCCACAGGCAGGGACACCTTCCACTAGAGCAGGTTGCTCCAAGCCCCTGTGTCCAACCTGGCCTTGAGCACTGCCAGGGATGGGGCAGCCACAGCTTCTCTGGGCACCCTGAGCCAGCGCCTCAGCACCCTCATAGTGAAGGATCATATATATCTGCGGATCCAGCTTGCTCATCTGTTGAGCTCTGGTTTTGGCTTTGCCTCTCCCTCCCTCGCAGTCTGCCAGGATGGTAACACAGGCATCTGACCTCAGAGGTAGCCTGCAGTGTGGTTTGCTTCTGATCCAGCAACTGTACTCCAGAATGAGATGAACTTGCTCTGTGAGGGGATCAGGGATGTATAACAAATCTGCAGAGAACAGATATCTGTAGATGGCTGCCAGAGTTTATAGATAGTTTGCGGCATCTGTCAGTTACAGCAAAAATAAGATCTTTAATGTAACGATAAAAGCTCCTTGGGGATAAGGCATCAACTCAGCTAAGAAAAAACAGAGCTACTATGTTAAAATAAACACATAATTATCTACATTTGTTACAGAAGCATGTTAAAAGTCCTGGATTCAGGGAAGGGAAGCAACCTTGGTCCTCCCCGCAGCCTCGCCCTGCACTGAGCAGTGCATGCCTCCTCTCACATTGGCTGGCAAACGTGTCTTCATATCACAGAAGAACACTACATTTGAAATGTTTGGTGTTTTAATGTAGGCAGTTTTCTGCCAAAGTGGAGGGGAGTTTGTGAAGCTGCACCTCCCAAGCCAAACACACCCTCACTATTTTATTTGGAGGGATTCTGACAGGAGCTAATGCGAGCCATACATCTTCCCACTGTTTGATGCTTGAGCATCCATGTAAAATGAAAACGCAAGGCTTGATTCATCCCTTCTTACCCCAGTGTCGTGCTGCTGCAAGATGACTTAAAACAGTGTTATGGCACTGCTGTCTTACGTAATGCAAAATGAATCATACCCTTTTGTAGTTTAGGGTGGCTTTTATTTTATCTTATTTTCCCTTCTATGAACCACCATAAACACTACACTTGAGTTTTCCAGGTTTCACACCCTGTGAATCCCTTGTGCTCTTTCGTTCTTTCCAACGAAAGTGGAAAATGTTTTAAGGACCTCTTTGTCAGGCATGCAGTCCTAGAGCTACTGCTTTCACATTGAAGTGATGGTGATGTGGCAGAGCAGGTCCTGGTGACACAGAGCACCAGCTGAGGGAAGTTCTTTAAAGGGAAGGCATGTATGTGGGTGAAGTGAATTGGGTGTATTGCTTGAATTCTACATAGGCTGAAGCGTAACCCAACACACAGCGATTTGAAGAAGACAGCCTGAGAACACCTAGCTGTGTATTTGCAGTGAACCATCATGTCAGTCTTTAAAATCAAGTAATGATGTCAATGAAATGCATATTTCTCCTATAGAACATTTCAGCCCATGTAACTGTGTGCTTGTTTAGCCTGGATACGTTGTCAGAAACTAAAACTAACTGATGCCACTCATTGCATCCTTCTGGCCAGTCTCGGGAGCCATGAAACTCAGCTTGTAAAGAGTTGGTTTCCCATCTTGTCTTGTTCTGGGTTTCTGTGATCTGCCGAAGCATTTGATTAAACAGTGTCACACATGAGTATGTTGACAGCTTCTCCTATGTTGGAGAGAGCCCTTGTCCGACCACATGCGATGGGGCCCTGTCTGTCCCCTCCTGCACCCTTTTCACCTGGAAATTTAGGACATTCATCCTTTTGTAGGATGGATATTGGGAAGTATGCTACATGGCAGAGCTGTTTGTGCTTGCTTTGTTAGCTATTGTAGGATGCCCATATTTCTGAGTTAATAGAGCTGCTGTTCATGGCTTATTTTTGCCACTTCTTGTCTGATGCATGGTTTTAAGGAGCATTTTGCCATAATACCCTGTGCAGAATTTTATCTATCATTTACCCCAAGAGAGCGTTCAGCTAACGTTGTCTTCTGTACGTAAAATAGATTATCATATGTGAGTTTGATACCTGCACAGAAAGCAAGTATT